TCTACATAAGATTCTGATTCCCAGAAGACAAAGTAATAATTCACACCGATCATCCTCTTCAAAATTTTACACCCCCCTGGCTCTTAATGTAGTGTATTGCCTTCTTGATCACCAGTAAACTTTTGCATCACCAACCAAATGTGACCCATCTCTTTACTTCCCTTACATTCCTCTATGTTAAACCCTGCCATCACTGTGTTATCAACAAAAGCATAAACCAATTAACATAATATTTTTCTATCCCATGACATAATCATTATTAAACCTCAGAGGGAGTCTACCCTTTGACTCTCTTGTGGAGCATCTAGGCTCCATACCTGTTTCTGTCACCCACTGACTCAAAGGGCTATAGAACCCATACATTTTCACACAACAAATTATCTTTTTGTCTGTCAGCTCTTTTGAAACTTTTACGATTACTCTGTCTCACCAAGGTATTGTAAGTACAGGGCTTCATTTGGTCCCCATTTTGGCCTAACAGTGAACATAGGACCCAGTACACTGTTCTTCCTCACCACCAAATATGGGCAATCTTCCGACCTGTCCTGAAACTTGCTAGGACATTGATGCCTATGATTGCCAAACAAAACAAAATCCCCTGGAGGAATCAATGCTCCCAAGGCAGCCCTATCATAGATTCTGTTTCTGCGTCTGGCTGATTGTTAAGACGCAGCTTGAGCAATATCAGTAGCTGCACTCAACCATTCATGATACGCCCTCACCCAATCATCTAGGTTATAGACCAAGTCTTCTCTTGGGTTTTCCCCAGCCAGTATATCATAAGGTAGATGTGCATCAGTCCCGAACATAAAGTAAAATGGGGAATAACCAGCGGAAGAATGCGTCTGGAAGTAGCCAGTAGTCAGATCCAGCATCGAGAATATACTGGCATTTCCCAGAGCATCAATTGACACCTCCATTTGAGGGAGCAGGTATGCATCTTTACAGATTACCTGATTCAGGCTCATGTAATCACAGGAATACCATATTCCCCCATCACTCTTAATGACTATCACTGCAGGAGAAGCCCACAGACTGCAACTTTCCTTTAGCATGCCCTGGGAACCAGGGTCCTGTATGTATCACTTGACCTCATGAAAAATTTGTGGTGGGACGTGCCTGTGATGTTGTTTGATGGGCTGGGCATCACCAGTAGGGATGCGACGAGTAATGGCAGTGGTGTGACCATAGTCACTCTCTGACTTAGAGAATACGTCTATGTGTTTCTCTAGTAGTGCCCTCAACTTCAAAACATGACCAGCCTGCAAACAGTCCAGATCAACTTCTACTGGCACTGGCAAAGGGTCAGATAATCTATTCTGAGAATTGGCCTCCACCCTTCTAACCCATACACAGACAGCATCTTGTAAATTTACATTTACATTTACGGCATTTGGCAGACGCCCTTATCCAGAGCTACTTACAATATTGCTTTGAAGGTTATCAAAAATACATTCTGCTATTGGCTCACTAGGTCACAAACTAGGAATACCATCAGTCCAAAACTCTGTTGGGGAGGTAACAGACAAGCGCTCAGACAATACTTTTTTTTTTTGGTAAGTGCTAACTTAAGTACTTTATGAAGAGGTAAGTCTTTAGACGTCGTTTGAAGACTGCCAGTGACTCAGCTGTTCGGACATCTAGGGGAAGTTCAATCCACCACCTTGGTGCCAGAACAGAGAAGAATCTCGATGCATGCCTTCCTTGTACCCTGAGAGATGGTGCCAGGCTGCCACAGGAGTAGCAAATATATCTACCATCACTATCCTTCAGCAGAGACCACAGGCTGCATTTGTGGCTTCTGCTTTGGTCTACCCACCCTTCTTTAACCAGGCAAACCTCTTTAAATATCTCCTCTTGACAAGCTGCTAGTTTCTGAACAGCCCCATACAGGCCCGCTAAGCTGAGCGAAGGTGATTCTTCCACAGCAGGAGTAGCACTCACGGCGGTTCTGGACTTGCTGCTGCTTAAAACTGTGGCTGGCACAATCTGTTCACTTTCCTCTGACCAGGTGATTGCAGCTTCTATCACATCCTTGAAGGACATTCCCCTCCTTAATGGTCCTTTAATTTCCCACCGTAGACCAGCATCATACAGACCCAATACCAGTTGTTCCTACAGAACAACCTCTGGTTGGGGTACACAATCATGGTCTCTTTTAAGCACCCTCTCTAATTTTCCTTAGAGAGCATAAGTATATGCTCTAACCATCTACCCTGGTGTCTAAGTGGTTTCATAAAACTCCCTCAGTAGTGTCCCAACAGGCATTCTGTCACCATATGTGTTAAGGAACACCTCAAATATCTTTTCTGGATCACTTTCCATTTCACCCAGCATCAACTTTACTGTTAACTTAGCTTCCCCGTTAAGATGCGGTTTAAGTTCAGCTTGATTGTCCTCCGGTATGCTGGACAAGCAGAAGGTGGATCTCACTCAATCGATCCATTCCTCCACATTTGCTCTCCTGACATACCCTTGAAATCAGAAAGGCTTCTCTCACAAGGGATGTAAATGGCTGGAGTTACATTCTGTTTTTCAGTGGCAGCTTTTGCTAATGCCAAGGCCTCACAGCGACCACCACTTCACCTTGTACTTGCAAATTTTTGTTAAGTGAAGCCACTTCTTTCTGCAAATTTTTTTAAGTTTTTATCTCCATTTACATACAATAGGCAAAAATGGATCCTGTTCATGATACCAAATGTAACAGACACTTACGCGCATCAGTGTGGTCCTGGATGAATAGTGACAAAAGGAACATAGTACCTGCCACAAATTCAGTTCACCCTGTACTATTCTGCTTAATTTATTTGGCCAAAATGAGGTAGGCTCCAGACTTTATATTTTGTCGCAGGGCCAACCAGGATGTTATGGTACATGTGAGTAATGCCCTTAAACCACCTGATACCTCCCAACCTCACGATGTCCTACCCGTGACGAGACGCCCTACCCTAGAACCAAAGCTCACATAGAGGCCTAAATACAGGTAATAATAAGGGTCACTAAGCTGAAGAATGTCTCTGAATCAACAATTTATTTCTAGATAAGGTTTATCAAAATTGTTTAGTCATCTGAGACTGAAATCTGAAAATCAGTCAATGAGAATAAATGTTGAATCAACAAATAGGAGGGAAAATACAATAATAATTTTCAAATAAATATCACGTTAGCCCTTTAAATAAATAGTATACAAACAATTAAGGGTCTATTAAACCTCTTTTCGCAATTTGGAATAAACACTCCCTTAAAGAAAACAGCTTTCAAGGTTATCAAATACCTTAAACACAGTCACCTAAACAAATTTCACATTTTCAGATGAACACGGACATGTTTTGTAAATAAACCCTTTCCCTTCAAGTATTTCCTCTATAGTTCAGTTCAGTTCTCTTACCCAGCAAACATGCCCCTTTGGGGCCTGTGTGGGGCCACTGCAGGCAGAAAATTGAGCCTGCAGTGGGCAGCCCACTATGGGCCCCGTTACCAGCATGAAATGCGGGGCACTTGGGGCCCCCATGCTGTAGGCATAATGTGGGCACACTGTGGGACCACTGGCCATACTATAGGCATACTGTGGGCACAGATCTGGGCCCACAGTATGCCCTGTGGGCATGCTCTGTGGGTCCTTAACAAATAACAAAATTAGTTTGGTTCTACTTTGTGCCTGCAGTATACCACAACATTATTATTAATGCATATGCAGAATAATTGCACTTGTTGAAAGTAGCAGTAATAAAGTAAAACAATCTAAAACTATGTTTCAAATACTTACATTTATTCACAGCCAGGTTAAAAGAAAAAATAAAGAAAATATAGAAAATTGAGTACAAATCTGAGCATGTGGATTGAAAACCGAATGCTTTTTATTAAACAGAACCACATAACAACCACTTTTTATAAAATAGAAGAAACTTAGAACCACATTAGAACACAATAAGAATGACTCAATCCCCTCAGGGGCACCAGTGGATATCTGCAACAAAAAAAAATAAAGAGAAAGAGAGAGAGGGAGAGAGAGAGACAGACAGACAGACAGATATCAACAATATCAAATTTGTTACAGTGATACATGAAAGCCTAAAACCAATGCTTACGAGTAATTATCAGCCTTCTTGATGAGTCGAGTATAGAAGAGGCTGGTTGAGTTGGTGGAGCTGGTGGGACTGGTGGGGCTGGTGGGAATGGTACAAGGTTTGATTGTCGACTGGCACTCTGGGTAACATGAGTTTGGTCTGGTGTAAATAAAAATATATAAAATGTTAAACAAAACTTCACAATAATAATATTTTATACATATGTATGTTAGTGATTGTAAATGAGTATGTAAGCACAATGTTAATTAGTTTCATACAGAGAGAGAATGTAACTAAGTACATTTACTTCAGATACTTGTACTTTCCTTGAGTATTTTCATTTTATGCTACCCCTACTTCACTACATTTCAGAGAGAAATATTGTACTTTTTACTCTACTACTACATTTGTTTAACAGCTATAGCTACTGGTTACTCACTCTTCAGCACTAACTGATTTTCTTCGATGTCTCACTATCGGGATATGCCTACACACCTGTTCCCACTTCTCTCATCAGCCCTGCAGTACTTAATCAGCCCTTTCCCACTCATTCCTTTCCAGATTTTTGAAGTTGCCATGTGCTTAATGCCTTTTACTTCTAGCCTCTGTATTTTGTTCATCTGGAACCTGGAATGCTGCGTCAGTCATATATAAAGGTGCAGGGCCCTGATGCTGACATCATGACTGCCAGCCATTCAGGGCTGGTGTAATAGAATAAGTGCTTCTGTGAATATGTGAAGGGGTGTATCCCCATGAGACATCTCACTCATGATACTCAGACGACTACTTAAAACTATCTCCACCTCGACACAACATTCACAATAGTACAACACTGAAGCAATAGTAAGAATAATCCAGTAATATTATTGCTGGACTTTAACTTGTAATAATACAACCAAAATAAATAACTTTTACGTAAGTAAAGAATCTGATTCCCTGGAGGATTAATGGTTAGGCCCAGCGCTCTCACCGCTGTCGCCCGGGTTCAATTCCTGGCCAGGGAACCAAACCCAGCCACTGGGGTTGTGTGCAATGGTGCGCTCAATGCTGGTCCCAAGCCCCAAGAAAAATTGGGGAGGGTTGTGTCAGGAAGGGCATCTGGCGTAAAAATTGTGCCAGATCAATATGCGGACCAATGATCCACTGTGGCGACCCCTAATGTGAGCAGCAGAAGGAGGAACAACTTAAGCAAAGAATCTGAGTACTTCCTTCCACCGGTTGTTAGTTTTAAATAATCAATGTGAAAACAAAGTAACTCACTGCCTTATTTGATTATACATACATTTTACCTCTTTCCTTGCTACTGGCTCTAGCGCTTTGACACAATATACCTTCTTACCTGTTCCTGAAATCCCTTAAGTTTAAGCACTTAATTTTTACAATCTCAACTTATTTTCATACATTATATTTTCGTTTAATATTAACATAATTCATTTTCCCCCATTATTCTTATTGTACATATATACACAAAATAAAATAATGCAATATTTAAAGGCAATAAAAAAAACAAAACAAAAGGTGCTAGCGGAGCAAAATAATTCTTTTAATGGCTGGACAGAACCAGCTGCTCTGCACTGGGAAATGTCTGGAAAGAAGCAAATGAAAAAAATACCAGGGTGAAATTCTGAAATTCAACCAAAGGGGTAGGCAGGTAGGCAATCAAGCAAGCAGGCAGGCAGGTATACAGGCAGACAATACACAACAGAAACAAAATCAAATTGCTCGAAGGATCAAAATTCCAAACAAAAAAAGGGGGTTTCTAATGTACTAAGCTTTCCAACAGAACTGTAGAACAGAAGCAATACAAAACTGTTTGGTCACTAACATCTTCAACTGTCTAACTAAGAGAGTCTACCTGACCATATGGAAGACACTATATTAACTCATCAGGTGACTGGGGGCAAATGTCAAAATAAAAGTCTCAAGCCAAAGGCCAATGAATCCAAACTGAAAATAAGAGTCCCAAAGAAAATAAGGTTTTAAATTTAAATCTGGCTCCTACACCACTGACATCATCAAACTGTTGCAATCTATTTTTGTGATGATTTTCCAGGCTTGTACCACTTCTTTCAGTTGTTGTTTGTTTTTTTTTTGTTGTTGTTGTTTTTCTTTTTGGGGGGGGGGGGGGGGGTTCTCCCTTCAGTCTCCTCTTCAGGAGTTGAATGCATTATCCATTGGATTAAGGTCTGGTGATTGACTTGGCCAGTCTAATACCTTCCTACTTCCTCTGGTGAAGTCCTTTGTTGTGTTGGCAGAATGTTTTGGGCTATTGTCTTGCTGCATGATGAAGTTCCTCCCAATCAGATTGGATGCATTTCTCTGTAAATTGGCAGACAGAATGTCTATTCTGTCCTCTGCATGCATATACAGATATCCAAACATTGTAAAGAGATGAGGAGGCTTCAATGACCACTCAGATGATTAAGTAAATTTTCTCTTTACTTGACTTTGTTGAGTGCAATCAAGTTGTTTCTCTCAATCTCTGTTACATTCTCTGTGAAACTGCAAAATAAATACAAAAATGCTTATTTTACATATAAATAAACAAAATACACAAACTCCTTATGCAATGTTTACATTGACATCGCTAAATTACGGTAGTTGTTGTATCACATGGCAATCTTTTGAATGTCCGCATAATGCACGTGAAACCGTTAAACTTGCTTTCAATATATATAAATATTAACAAGCTACAGGGGCAGTCGTGGCCTAATGGGGGGTGGGGGTGTGGGTGTGTGTGTGTGTGTGTGTGTGTGTGTGTGCGCGTGTGCGCACTTGGATGGGTTAAATGCAGAGCACAAATTCCGAGTATGGGTCACCACACTTTGCCACATTTCACTTCACATCACACAATGTATATAAAATAACAAATATAAATTATAAACTTACAAGCAAAGCTTCTCCAGGGCATTACACAATGGATTGAGAACAGATGAAAAGAGCACACAATCTCTCTACTGCGAAATGGCTGCTGTGCTTTTCGTGCTTGAAAGCATAACAAATAAAGATATCGACCGGAAACTTTTGTGGCTCATCTTTGTATTTGTGAATTCCAACCTGGCCTTCTGAATGTTACTGCTGATGAGTGGTTTGCATCTTGTGGTATGGCCCCTATGTTTCTGCTCTTAAAGTCTTCTTCAAAAGGTGGATTGTGATATCTTTACCCCAGCCCTGTGGGGGTTGTTGGTGATGCCACTGACTGTTGTTTTTGGTTTCTTTGCTCACAGTGTTTCTGTCATCTACTTGTTTTCCTTGGTTGGTCTGTTTGATGTCTTGCTGTTAGTAAACCAGTGGTTTCTTTCTTTTCCAGGACAATCCAAATTGTTGAACTGGCTATTCCCAATGGTTGTGCAATGGCTGTGATCCATTTTCCCTCTTTTCTCAGCTTCAAAATGGTTTGCTTTTCATCCATAGACAGCTTTATGGTCTTCATGATGGTTTATCCTTTTTTATAAACAAATGCAGTCTTAACAGGCAAAGCCCAGGGCTCAGTCCAAGAATAGACATTCAGAGGTATTAATTGCTTAAAACAGTCAATCTAACAGGGCACACCTGGGCAACAAGAAACACCTGTCAGTCACGTTGTCCAATATTTTTGATCACTTGAAAAAATTGGATGGGTTCAAACAAAGGGTGCTAAGTTGTTTAATATATCTAGATGTAAACATCAGGAAATCAAAGCAGAAATTCTGATCTATCGTATCATATTCATCTTTTAATCTCAAACCAAAATGTCTTCAGTATATAGCAAAAACAAAAGAATTGGCCTTGCCATTCCAATACTTTCAGAGGGAATTGTATATACAAATGGTGGACATTCTACATCATCAAGGAATGTGGCTTCTTCTGGGGGCATTTAGAAGAATTTTGAAGCACTTTTTATTGAACTCTTCTGCTTTTAATGTCATCAGACAATGCTATTACTCTGTAAGGTCTTTTAAGGTGATATATGATAAGGTAATTAATTGTGTTTATTTGTATGCATATTTAGTCTTTTGTGTGTTTGTTTGTTTATTTATGTATTTGTTTATTTAGTTAGTTATGTATTTTTATTCATTTATACTGTATTTATAACTTTGCTCCTGCCATGAATATAGTCCTTGATACTGGAATGGTGTTAAAAAATTAAGCAACTAACTCTTCCTCATGATCCCATCTATTTTCTGTTGTTTACCAGGCCTTTTTCCAGCAGGACACTGCCACAACATGATGCTGACACCTCACACTTCACAGTTGGGATAGTGTTCTTTGGATTCAAAGTTTTTCCTTTTTACTCCATAAATAATGCTGATCATTATGGGCAATATTTTGTTTCATCTGACCAGATTTGAAAAAGGCTGATGATCACCTACAAAGTTCAGTCTGGTTTTTTAATGCTGGTCTTAGAATAGGGGCTTCTTCCTTATACAACTGTCTTTCTGGACATGACAATGTAGGATTCTCTTAATGGTGGCTGTACATATTTTGGTATCTGATCCCTCTAACTCCTTTGTTGTTGGTTTCAGTTGAACCTTTCAGACCAAAGTTCATTCATCCCTTGAGTTAATTTTTGCCTCTTTCCTGAATGATGCAGTGTCTGAGTGGTCCCAAGATTTTTATATTTGCATACAATTATTTGTACAGATGGTCATGGAAATTATACCTAAGGAGGAACCAGACTTGTGGAGGGGCCACAATTATTTTTCCTGAGATCTTGGCTGAGTTGCTTGGATTTGCCCATGGTATCAAGGGCAAAAATGCAGTCTCTAAATGTAGGCCCTTTTAAGTCACAATTGAATTATAAATAGGGCAATTTGCCAACATAAGCTCTTTACTTTTAAAAGACTGAAATACAGTCAGGTCCATAAGTATTTGGACAGTGACACAATTTTCGTAACTTTGCCTCTGTACACCACCACAACGGATTTGAAATGAAGCAATCAAGATGTGACTGAAGTAAAGACTTTCATCTTTAATTCAAGCAGTTTAACAAAAATATTGCATTAACCGATTAGAAATTACGGCCATTTTTTACAAAGTCCCTCCATTTTCTCAGGCACATAAGTAATTGGACAAACTAACAATCATAAATATTAGGATTATTTTTAATATTTGCATGCAAATTCTTTGCAGTCGATGCCTAAAAGCTGCAACACATGGACATTACCAAATGCTGAGTTTAATTCCTTGAGATGCTTTGCCAGGAGTTTACTGCAAGCTGCCTTCAGTTGCTGCTTGTTTGTGGGTCTTTCTGCCTTCAGTTTTGTCTTCAGTAAGTGAAAAGCATGCTCAATTGGGTTGAAGTCAGGTGACTGACTCTGCCATTTAAGATCATTCCATTTTCAAGCTCTTGGGTTGTTTTCATGGTACATTTTGGGTCGTTATCAATCTGCACTCTGAAGCACTGTCCTATCAGTTTTGCACCATTTGACTGAATCTGAGCAGAAAGTATAGCTCTATACACTTCAGAATTCATCCTGCTACTTCTTTCAGCAGTCTCATCATCAATAAACACCAGTTACCTAGTTCCAATGGCAGCCATACATGCCCATGCCATAACACTGCCTCCAAATGGTTGACAGATGATGTGGTATGCTTTGGATCATGAGCCCTTTCCTTCTCTATACTCTTCTCTTCCCATCATTCTGGTACAAGTGAATCTTGCATCAGAATTGGTCAGACTTTTTTTTTTAAGCAAAGTCTAATGTAAATACAGACAGTTTACCTCAAGATGAAAACCACTGTTCTTGAGTGTTACCGGTGGTTTGCATCTTGAGGTAAATCGGCTGTATTTACATTCATGAAGGTGTCTCTTGATGGTAGATACGCCTACCTCCCTGAGAGTGTTCCTGACTTGGCTAGATGTTGTGAAGGGGCTTTTCTTCACAAAGGAATGAATTCTGCAGTCATCCACTTTAGTTGTCTTCTGTGGTCTTCCAGGCCTTTTGTTGCCATTGAGCTCGCCAGTGCATTCCTTCTTTTTAACAATGTACCAAACTGTTGGTTTGGCCAGTCCTAAAGTTTC